TGCCTTACGTATATACACACCATGAATGAGAAAATAAGATTTTGTAACATATAAAAGTAATATCCCTCTCCCATCCCCCAAGGTTTCTGGACTAGAGGTCGCCTCTGAAGTTGTTCTTACTAAAAGTTACTTTACTAGCTCTTATTCTCAGTATCAGCACTGGGCAAATAATCAGGCTTCCCTTTACTGTTTATTTATTGGAAACAATTGCATCATTGTTTGCCAAACTATTGGCTATGCTGCATTATATCCTTGTTACTCGATGCTATTTACCTAGAGGATACAGAATTCTTATGTTAGAATGTTCTAATTTTCCTTTTAGTGATGGAACTTACTGTAAATGATAGCTTTTGATCAACCTCAATTTTTTATTACTAGAAGTGTGTTCCAAGGATATATGATCCAGTAGAAACTTGTCTAGCAAACAGATGAAGGGACTGTGAAGAACATGAACAGTAGGAACACAAAACTTTACATGAACAATCATAATTCAGCTACATTTAATAATGTTCCATTTGTATCACACAAAATAATAATTCAGCAGCAGCTTTCAGAGGGCTATTAGGGTTGCATACATAGTTTAAGGAGGGCACATATGGCACTGGAGTTTTTATTTCTATGTCCCAGTATACATGATAGGCCTTTGCTTTGATCCAACAGGGTCAGGATATTATTAACATCAAAAACAGTGAACAAAAGAAGATTGTTCTATCCATCTATCTCATATCAAAAGGCCAAGCTCCCCCTTAAAAATGAAAACAATAATAAAGAAAAATTACAGTGATAAAAATAAAATGTATACAACATGACCAAAGGTAGTTAAACATTCTGCAGTGCATTTTGATGCCCCATGCACATTAAAAAAACTAATCAGATCATTTTTATTGTTAATATTACACAAATCAAGGGGGATAAAGGAAAGAAATTCTATTTGTTTATTTTATTATACTAAATTAATTAACGAATACAAAAGAATAGATACATAGTGCAGAATTAACAATGTAGTGCAAATCACTGAAGGTACACACCTTAAATGAACTTTAAGGGGAAGAATAAAAAGGAAATGCAAGGGAGGGGGAGCAAGAGAAAAAACAAAAACAAAATGCAGCTGTGAAAGAAAATTCAATTCATAATCTTTCTCTTTAGCCAAGGACATACAGATATAACAAGCACATGCATAATCAAGAGCTAGAGATAAAAAGTTTAACAGCCTGGATACAAGTAAGCCTAATAGCAGAACATCATTTAAAAAAAAAAAATCCTTTGCAAAAGGATGTCAGTAAGAGCTTAAAGAGGTAAAACAGTTTTCAGCATTCTCATCATTATGAAATGATTTCTGAGTGCTGCTGATAGAACAAAAACAAAACAAAGACAGCTGGAAGGAGACCTAATGAATACTGTTTTTTTTCTTTCTTTCAAGCAATCTTTCTCATAACATTGAACATCTTTCTGTGTTACTGAACTTTTGGGGTGCAAGCTGGGGAAAGCATAATACAAGACTTTTTATCACCCCATTCGATTTCATTCAGTGAGAAGGAACTAACCAGTTCATTCCCTTGCTCAGTGCAAGATCCACTAGAGCATCCCTGATACATGACCATGTAGCCTCTGTGTGAACCAGGCCAGTATCTTGCCTTGCTGAAGAATCTCCTGCTATACACCCACCTTAATGTTGTTGGATGCTACAGAATATGTGGAAGCTGTGTATGGAAGACCACTCTAGTCTCAAAGTTCTGTGTTGTCCTTGGTAATCTGGGGGGGAAAAGCCCTTTAAGAAAGCACAGAACTAGCAATCTGGTTTGCTTCATCAACTCTGAACCCAAAGCAGATAATACAATATTGTTATAAAGTAAACATTATTTATTAATCGTAGAATCATAGAATTGAAGTTTAGTCTTCTGCTCAGTGCAGGATCCACTAGAGCATTTCTGACAAATGGCCATCTAGCCTACTGTTTCTCAACCTTAGCAACTTTAAGCTGTCTGGACTTCATGCTGGCTGGGGAATTCTGGGAGATGAAGTCCAGACAGCTTAAAGTTGTTTGAACATTTTAGCCTGTTTGAACATTTCCTGTGAAGGAGAACTCTTCACTTGGCAGCTTGTTCTACTGGCTGATAATTCATAGTCAGGAAATTCCACCTGATGTCTAGCCTGAAAATGATTCCTCGTAATGTATTGGTCTTGCCCTCTGGAGCCGTAGAGAATAAGTCCACTCTACAAATGTTGCTTGATAATCTTTTCAAACACCTAGCCCAGGACAGACTTCAAGCTGATAGGTCTGTAGTTTCCTGGGTCCTCCTCCTTCCCCTTTTTGAAGATGGGGATGACATTTGCTCACCTTTTGAGACCTCAGCAGTCCTCCAGGACTTCTCAAAGATTACTGAGAAAGGTTCCTTCAGTACTGTGAAATGTAATCCACCTGGTCCTGGAGATTTGAATTCATTTAAATTAGCTAACTACTGTCTTACCCCAGCCTGTCTTCTACCTTCTCCTTACCCCTACTGCAGTTTTCTGCTTCCCCCAATGGCATAACCATGATCAGCTACGGCTCAATTTCTGTTCTGAGAGAAGACAGATGCAAAATAGATGTTAAAAAATCCTGCCTTCTCACCTTCACCTACTATTGCTTCTTCACTGTTTCCTCACAATAGACCTATACTCTCTTTGGCTTTCCTTTTACTTCTAATGTACCCAAATATACTTAGGTTATTATGATTTATGTACACAAGAGTATGTATAAACGGGTTGGCTACTACAATAATTTCTGGTAACATGCCTACAGGTAAAGTAACAGAGATCACAAATAGCTAAAACAGACTTCATTAATCCATTTTAATTGGCTTTCCGAATTAGCTACTTGTAGACAGATGGACAGATCAGGCTTACAGAGTTATCAGACTATTAACACAAATTCCTAGACTGGTACTGGTATCACTGATTCAGTTAATGTGGCACAGAACTCCATATACATATATAGTTTCCTTGTTTTCAGTGATACCATGGAAGGTTCTGCATTTTATACACATGACAAAGTGTATTTCCAGTCTAGGAAAATAAAACTCTTTTTTTTTTAATTAACTAGCTTACTTGTGAAGGCTACTATTATATTTGTGCCCCTTCTACTGCCTAATAAATATATACGTATAAGGGCTGTTCAATGCCTTTGAGTCAATTCCCAAAAAAATGTTTTAGAACGCACAGGAGAGCAAATGTAGCACCTGCTTGCAACTCTTTAAAGCAGCCACATTTTCCCTTCTGTTATACAAGGTATCCATCTAATATTGGGAAAAGACATGAAGATTTTAAAGAGTTGCAGGCAGGTGCTATGTTCACACACCTGTGCATGCCAAAATGCTTTGTTGAAATTGAATCAAAAGGGCTGCACAGTCCTAATGGATATATTCAGGAGGTTGACTTATAAAACATGAATTTTTGGAGAGGGGTGCTCAATCTAGGATTTAAATAAAGAACAAAGGAGGAGGATTCGGGAAAAGTATTTTTGTGTCTAGTGTTGTCACTCAGAACTTGTACTAATTCACAAAGCGCTTTCAAAATGCCATCTGGATATGTGATCCAGCAATGCATTCAGTCAATAGGCACTAAAATGTAGAGAGGTAAAGTTGAGGGCCCATGAGTAATGGCAACATTCTCTAGTACATACCTGATTTCATTTGAGAGAGAGAGAGAGAGAGAGAGAGATATGAAAAAGAATTTTACACAGAATTAACAACTACAGAAACTTAAGGAAAAAAGTAGAAAAAAGATAGAAAAAGATAGAAAAGTGAGAAACAAAGAAAAAAAAGATATCTAAGGAAGCGACTTCCAATCTTCTTTGCAACAGTTACTAGCATGAGTATTCACCATTTCTACCCTCCCAAATTACATATCTTGGTTCCCTTCTTCCCATAAACAACCCTTTTTAATCAGTAAATCCTGAAATCACCAATTCATTTTGTCCATTTTCAGCAAAAAAACTATGACAGGTTTCCAGTCTTTTATAAAAGTAATTATTGTTCCTTCCTTAATCAGGCAAGTCAATTTAGCCATTTCAGTTAATTCTACCATCTTCAGAGTCCACTCCTCCATTGTGGGTATTTTTTTTTAATTAACTCACTGGAATGTACAGTAAATAAATCCAAAAAAATACCACTGGTCCCTTTATCCATTTAAAACTTTTTTTCCCTCTTCTATTGGTAAAACTTTTGTAGTCCAAGCTCTTAATGTGCTTTTTGCTGCAAGTTAATTCCTGTAGCTTTTTCTGTTCTTTTTCTGTTAAACATGTCACAGGCCATAGGAACACTCACCAGATGGTCCAGTTAAACTGCTGCTCTGAAGATTTCTTTAGCTTTTAAACCATTATAATCCAAAGTGGTTAAGAAAGTGGGGTTGGATGGACCCAGTGTCCATTAAAGGCTCCATTAAGGCTGCAAGCCTGGTCTTCCTTCCTCAGCTCCCGGCACTCTTACTCACAAGATGCCTGCAGAATCCCTTTGGGTATCGCAGGCTTCCTCAAAAAGGACTGCCATCTGGAGCACACGTGGGTCATTTCTTCAGCTTCTCCTTGTCCAGAGAAGTTCTGCAGGACTGGGCTTGCTGCCTGGTCACATTTCCAACCTCAGCATCTTCTCTGCGCTTTGAGAGATGCATCAATCCACCATTTTCCCCACTCAGAAGTCTCCATACCTGATTGCATTTGTGTTGATGAAACATTATAGACCAGTTAGAAATCTCCAATACTGAGAATAATGCTCCAATACATTTTCTTCCATAAAAACTGTACAGGTATTGCTCACTTAATGACCACAATTGGGGCCAGCAACTCCATTGCTAAGTTGTTAAGCAAGACCTCATGTGACCATGACTTGTAATTTTACTGTTGGCTTCTCCATTGACTCTGCTTGTCAGAAGCCAGCTGTGAAGAGCACAAATGGTGATCACATGACCGCAGGACGCTGTGACAGTCTTAAGTACGAGGACTGGTCATAAAGTTACTTTTACAGCACCATTGTAACTTTGAAGGGTCACTAAACAGGGCAGTCATTAAGCAAGGATTACCTGTAGTAATCATGTGTTTGATATCAATAAATAGGTAAAGCACATATTGCTTCATTTCATCACACCTAAATATTTTCATGCTTTGCCCCCTCAAACAAAAGCAAAAAATATCCCCCCCCCTTCTTTTAAATACGAACCCAGCAAAATGACTATAATGTCAAAATATAATATGGATAATCTTGCCAAAGCTAGACATGACTGAATTGCTTTGACATTAATGACACTGAATTAAGTGCATTTATTAACCAAGAACCAACCCCAGAGTGAACTTTAAATTGTGCTGATGGTTCTACAGTGATATGTCTAGGCTTGGTAAACAGCAAAATGCTAAGGAGTGTCCAGCTCCACATCCAACTAAAAGCAGCTCTGCAGAACTAAGAGCCCCAACATGCTGAGGAAGACAAACATTTTCTTCTGTTTCATTGCCACACATGCCATGTTCATTCCATCCCCAGGAAAAACACTGATTACCTAAGTGAAAAGAAGAAAAATTAATCAGGATATTAAAGCAGCCAGTGAAAAACCACGACATCCAAAATCCTAGTGAATCATACTTAGCAAGGCTCACTAACTTTGCTGAGTGCTGTTCTAAAAAAAATTGAAGAAAAAGAAGCTATACTAATTCACTGGCCTGTGAATTAGCTATACTAATTCACCAGACCAGGGATTAAAAATTATGATGCAAAGACTGCAATTGAATTGATTGTTATATTGTGAATCATTCATAATAGTACAGTTAAAAAAGAATAACATGTATGGTGAGAACTTTTTAGTTGCAATCCAATTTTGTTCACACAGCATTCCAGTATTTTCCATGGTATCTTCTCTATCCATTGTCAGATCAAAAACCAAGAACCAATTGTTTATTAGTGGTATTTAGAGTTATAAATTCAGTATGAAATTCTCAGACACTTAAAATAATCTGATGCCAAAGGAAACTCTGTCTGAAGTGAAGCAGTTTGCTTGTGGGAGAATTATTTCAGCTATTCTAATGCTCTTTTTGGCATTTACAATCCAAGAAAAATGCTTATAAATGAAATTATTCTTTAAAAAAAAACTTTCATTAAAGTATCTACATGACATTTAGTATTGAGTAGATTTCTCCAGGAAAGAAAATTCATCTCAACAACAAAAAACAAACAAGCGTCTAGCAGCATTTTGGGGAACACTTCAATCATTGGAGAGGCAACATGTTTTATTATTGTAAGCAGCAGCTTTGTTTATTTCAGCTATCTTTATGAAAAAGGAGGAGATTCTTTATAGCAGTGTTTCTTAACTCGTCAACTTTAAGAAACGAGGACTTCAACTCCCAGAATTCCCTAGGCAACATGCTGTCTGAGGAATTCTGGGAGTTGAAGTCCACACATCTTAAAGTTGATGAGGTTGAGAAACACTGCTTTATAAAATTCATGAAGATCCCCATTCTGGAAAAAATATAGAGCAAATTGTGATTTCCCAGTATCTTATAAGAGATTTGTTGAATTTTGCTCTTGAAAATCTCTTCTCAAGTCACATGGGGCAAGGAAAAAAAAAAACTCTAATGAGGCTTAGGGACAGATACTTTTGGCCAGGAATGACCAGAGAGAGGGAAATTCATTGTCAATCCTGCCAAAAATGTCACTATATAAAACCTAAGGGGAAAAAAAGATAAGGCACTTGTGGAAAGAATTCCCTTGGTTCTTACTCCATTTTCTAGAATGGAGGAAATCAGGATATGCTTGTGATTTCTGATTGTAATACTAAATACCCAGAGGCAAACTCCTTGTGCATAATCAGAACAGTTACTGTTGATGAACTGCTTAAATGTACAATAGTGAGGAGATCCCTGATGAGATTCTCATGGATCAAACCCCAAACTTTGAATCCACTTTGTTAAAGCATTTGTACACTGACTTGGGTTTATCCAGGGTATGAATTTTCTTTTCTTCCTCAAACAAATGGATTATGTGAAAGATTAAATCCGATTTTGAAAAACATGTTAATGGAATATACCCAGGATGACCCAAAGTATTGGAACATGTGGATTTCCTCTGTGCTCTTTGTATATAGTGAGGTGCCACCACTTTCACAGGATTCAGCTCTTTGAAGTTGCTGCATGGGACAAAACCAAAAGCATTCTTGGTTGTGGTGAAGGATGGACCAGTGAAATTCCAGATCCAAAAACCTAGGTGCATACTGTATATTGTGACACAAAGGAGAAAATTGCAAAATCTCAGTGACATGGCATAGGAACATTTAAAACTTGTGCAAGACACTAAAGAATGCTATTGTATGAAAGCTGCAGATAAATCTCTAGAAATGTTGCTTTTGTTGCTATTCAGAAATGTAAACTACAAGCTAAGTGGTAAGGGCCATTTACTCTGATGCAGAGAATGGGACCTTTTAATTACAAAACAGGGATGAAAGAATCAAGTCTATCTTACAAACTACCTGAGCAAATGGGTTGAGAGAAAAGAACTAAGTGTTTCACAAGTAGCTCACAAATCAGAAGATTTAGCAGAGCAGCTATATAACTCCTTGTCAGAGACATACAGAATTCATAGAAATGAACTTATCTTTAGAGAAGAAGGTCTAGAAATATTTTTAGAAGAATTCAAAGAAGAATTTACAAGTAAACCAGGCACTACAAAATTAGTACATGCTTGACACCATAGGCACAAAACCAGTAAAGCAAAAGCCTTATCGCATTCCAGAAAGAGCCAGAGACACACTGCAGAAAGAAATACAAAACATGCTACAGCAAGTAGACTTCACGTATATTATTAGTTCCAAAGCCAAATGATGAAGTTAGATTCTGTGCAGAGCTAAATGAGCTCAACCAAGTTTGATAGTTATCCTATGCCAAGAGTAGATAGCCTACTAGGTCAGCTACATGGGGCAAATTACTTATTTACTATAAACTTATGAAAGGACTAGTAGCAAGTTCCTCTCAAGGAAATCTCCAAAGAGAAAATATCCTGTGTTGTGCCTGAAGGACTATAACAGTTTATAAAAATTCCTTTTAGCTATAATGGAGCTCCTGCAACCTTCCAGAGACTTATGGACAACATACTTCCAGGCCAGGGAAAATACTGAGAAGCACACCTGGATGATATTTATTTACAGCTCTATCTGGGAAGGACATGTGCAATAGTTAAAGGAAGTTATTTCCAGTTTTAATGCAGCAGGCGTAACCACCAATTCAGCCAAATGTCACCTAGAGTTTTCTAAACTGCATTGCTTAACTTACATAGTTGACCAGCAAGACTTTAAGCCACAAGAAAATAATTTGCAAGCTATTCAGCAGTTGCATTCTCCAAAAACAAAGCAAGTTCATTCCTGGGAACTTTGGGATATTATGGATATCTCATTTTTCCACCAAGACAAAAGCCTCACAGACTTAACCAAGAAAGAAGGAACCTAATAAAGTTTGCTGATCTCCTGAGTGTGAGCAAACTTTTCAAGAGTTAAAAACTGCTTGATATAGTCATCCTGTCTTCCATTTGTTTTACATGCTGATACTTCTGATATGGTGAGAGGAGCAGTGTTAATGCAAAAGGCTGATGATGGTAGGCATCCAATCTTATATGTTTCAAAAAAGTTCTTACCAAGGGAAAGGGTATTGTCAGCCCTATAGGGTAGATCAGACTAAGAAACCAATCCCATATAGGTCTAAAGCTACTTTTATTAGAACAACAATAGTGACAGAATCCTGCAAGTCTCCTCCCTCACTTCATCTTCATGTGAATTCAGGAGGGGCCTGTCTGAGGCATTTTCTCAAATTACAGAGAAAGCAGCCTGTGCTCTGAAGTGAGCAGTGGAAGCTCTGTAGTATCTGTGGGGTTGTGAATTCAATACAGTCACAGACCACCAACCACTAGTTTGGTTAGAAAAAATGAAACTTCCTAACAGAAGATTTGCACTTTGGTATTTGATCCTTCAACCACACAAATTTGTTGGGCAGCAACAGGCAGAAAAGCAGCACCAAGCTGCTCACTTTCTGTCTTCATATGAAACTGATCCAGAGATGGGTATCCGTAAACTGGGTATAATTGACACCTCTGAAAGTCCCAGGCATTTTCATAAAGGGGAAGGGTAGGTGATGGCCCTGTGTGCCACCATAGCATCTTTTTGGCTCTTCACCTATCCTTATCCAAACAAAACAGTGTGTTTTCACTTTGCTGATAAGAAGCTGAGCGTAGGAGTTAGTTTTGACTCTCATGGAAAAGCTCTCATAGGAGATGAAGAGACAGCAGGTGGGCTCATACTAGTATCAGATGCCATGCTGGCATTAGAGGTGGAATGAAATCCAATCAAGGAAGAAAAGCTTGGAGAGAAGAAGGTTGGAATTGGAGATAACGGCTGGTAGCTCAAATCACTGAAATGAAATTAGCAAGTTCACTGAAATAAACTTAGACAGCAAGTTGATGTTGGGTTGTTGATTTTAGTAAAACCCAATATGGCCTGGTAAACCTGAGCTGGACTAGTTCATGGGCAACTGGAAAGAATGCCGAAAAGAATTGTTTGGGCATGACCCAAAGAAGCATGCTGCACAGGTGGAGATGCTGTGGGACCTTTCTACTCCATGCAGGAAGTTCCTGGTGGAGCTAAAGATGGCAGAAGAGATGATCAAAGGTTTACCTGCCAGAAAAGAAAAGAAAAAAAAGCCAGGAGACAAGAAGTTGTTAGTCTGATTGATGGAGGATGCTGCCAATATAACTTTAAGCCCTTTTCTAACTCTAGTTAGAAACTCTTTAGTATTTAGATATATAGAAGGCTGTTTATGTGTTAGGTGCATACATATCTTAAGTTCATATTATAACTTTATACGTGATTCATGTTTAAAATGGCTTTGAGCTAGAAGTTAGAATTCAGAGGAAAAAATGTTCATTTAATACATCTGCAACAGATTGTCAGTTGAGAGGGGAAAACTATTCACAAAGTATGCAAAGCAATTAGTGAAACTGCTTGACTGTTCTAATAAAGTTTGGCTGAAATTGCTTTCTACTGTCTTTTAAGTGAATAATAAAGGGGGGGAAACTGGAAATCTGTGTGGCTCTACCTCTTTCAATCAGATCACTTGAACCCATGTACACAGCCCATGACATATTGCCTGCAGAAAGAGCAGTCACACAAATGTGACCCAGTGTCAATTAAACCACTGTGTCCCATGTTCTTCAACTCTGTGTCCCCCAATTTCCTGTCTTGATCAGTTATATAATTATGTTTGGTGAATTTTGTTAGCTGAGCAAACTGATCTGTTGATTTATTGATTTATTATTACTATTATTAGAATATTTTATTAAAGACTAAAAACACCACTTCCTTATACTTTATCCTCAGCCCTCAACGATTAACTTCAACACATTCAGGAAGGAGAATCTTCATTCCTTAGGAACACCTGTTTTCTTAGCACAACTCCCATCCTGCATGCAACTGCCTGAAATTTAAACAGCCTATTTCTTGCTATTCCCTCTGAAAATGTTATCGCA